AGCAGGAGCATCTTTTCATCACAACTCTTAATGCTTGTTCTATTTCCCATCTCTTCCAGCTGCAAAAAATGCGATCCCGTAGAAATTGAACTAGGTGGTGAGATATACGAAGCCCAGCAGAGCACCTCCTGCAACGAACCTGAAACCTGCTACACCTACAACAGGGACAAGTGCTATACCACAACCTTCCCATTCCTCCACCATGGGGAGATGAAAAATGTTCAAGCCGTTTTGACACCGGCATCCTGCTACGCCGATTAGCTCAAGCCGCTACCGTACTAATGCCTCGTTGCACTCAAGGTTCCTATCAAAAATAAATGTATAGCACCGTAGTACCTGGATGATAGCGTCCAAATTATCGGCTCCCAGAGTAATGCCAACTTGCCTGTTCATATTGTTTTCAACATCAGACGGGTGCCATCTCCCAAGAGCAGCTCCTGTTTGTCACAGACTCTGTTCTCAAATGCCTAGCACGTGTCTGAAATGCCATTATTATACATCTCAGACATCATCACCATATAGACCAGATCCTCAGCGAATGTAAGCCAGTAATTCCTTTCAATTCAAGGGAACTACACCGATTTATAAGACTGGGGAACCGGTATTTTTGACAGTCTTCCATCAGTCTTTATCTGAGCAAGGCTACCACAAACATCAGCAGGAATGTCTGTGTAATTCCCTCCCTGAGCAATCTAAAGCAAACCTCTGCACAGCCTTTATACAAGGCCATTTGATTACTTTAACAGAATGTGTGCCTTTATTAGAAGGTTGTGGTACAATCATATTTGAGAGAAAACACAAGGGATGAGACAGAGAATTCAGGTTTCAAAGTTAAGTTTCAATTAGGCGTTCTATACGCTTCTAGCACTTGGACAATCATAAGCTTCTAGTTTTCACATACATTTAGAAAAGGTCAAAAGATGCTGGCACCCTGCAGTGTTTCACAAAGTTGCCAGGACCTCAGCTGTACCAGGAATACTAAACTCTTCTAGGACCTGTTAGGTATTTCCCTTTCAACACTTATTTACTGATTCTCCTGCCTTCTTCCAGCCATGCTCCAATTGTTGAAAACAAAAAAAAAATCAAGTTGGCTCAGATTTCTTTTCTTGTTCCTCATTTTGCATTTAAAGCTTAAAGAAATTCTGTGAAGGCAACAATAGCTAGAGCAGGACCCTAGTTAGGGATTCGTTCTTTCTTTCACACCAGCAGTCTTTTTTCATGCAAGAAACCCTCACCAAATAAAGGAGCTGATCCTGTATTGCACCTTACATTTAAATGCATTATACTCAGTATTGCCAATAGAGACATGATGTATATGAGCACGTAAGGTGCCCGGCATTGCATTTGGGATGGCTGATGTGATACTCCCTGTTGTCAGAAGTTGATTGTAAAACCTAAGGCTGTCCTGAAAAGTCCTTCTTTGGCTTCAGACACAACTGGAATTAATGAAACAGCAAAACAATTATTCCCATAACTGTGGCTTTGTTATAGAAATATTAAATAAACTTTTTTCTGCAGCAGTCTGTGCGTTATATTCCAGTTCAATAAGAATTCATAAGAAAAACAAAATCTATAATTATATTCTTTCCTCCTTCACAGACAAGAAGCTCTCCCTAAATAACTGCTTACACTTACAGCGAAAGCCTCCTGAAATACTGGGATAGAAATATTATGATGCATTCACATAAACTATGATCAGGATCAGCTCTGCATCATTGAGCTGCTTCAAAGCACTGTGAGTCCGTGTAGGAAAGGAGTTTAAAAATTCAATCACCGAAATCGCTCTTGAAATTGCAATCCGCAGATCAGGATTTTACCTCACCACAGAAAAATGTGCCTTTCAGGCAGATATGTCAGGGGCTAATCACTCAGATGCAAGGTGTCTGTCCTAAAGAAAAACATTTCTGTAGCAGATGAATTTTGAAGAGCGAAGGAGTGAAGAGGGTTGAGCCTCTTCAGAAACATCATTCTGATGTTTCACCAGAGTTACAGAAAATGAAGTCAGAAATATAACTTTTTTCCCCCTCCTTCATGCAAAAAGATAGCCAGTTCGAACAAATGCTGAACGCAGAGGGAGGCAAAGAGGCTCCTGCCATGCATTGCCACAGCTCTAAGTATTTCAGTGGTTAGGCACTAAGCTCATTGAAATTTGTCTCAAAGGTATTTTCATCTTCAAAGTCCTGGTGTTCACCAACCTAGGACTGCTGATGTTAGAACTTAGTAGGTCACGGTGAGGCTGCATTTCATCTCCCAACAGAACTCTTCAGGTTACAACCACAGGACCTTGTCAGTCCCTGGGGCTCTGCCTCTACGCTGGAACCATGTGCCCAAGTGTAAAGTCACAACATTTGTTTGTACATCCTGTTGTAGAGACAACATCAGACTCACATTTACTCACAGCAGGCCTGGAAATGACCCTGCAGCACATCTTGGCAGTCCAGCAATGTCAGCACATGACATTACCCCCGATAAGAGGCACTCAGGAAAATGGAAATCAAAGTACAGACTTGTTTTCCAAGTAGCTGTGAACAAATACTTGCTTAGATAATCTTGGGCAGAGCAAACAGCCACCGGGAAACAAGAAAAAAAGTGTTTATCAAACTCTCCATGTGCTATTCAGCTTTATAATAAAGCATGATTCATTGCCCCCATCTTTTCTGAGGGAGAAACCTACACTGACAGCCCTGCCCACCCCTTGGTATTGGCTTGTCTTAGCCAGGTTTTCAATAACTCAAAGGAACACAGAAAGTCAAATCAGGCTCTGAATCCTTACCTGTAAGACCAGGACAATAAAAGAGGAGCAAGTGAGGTCTGCTCATCCGTAAGAGCATACTGGGGAGGGTCTGGGACCTCCTCGCCAGAGGAAAAGGTGCTGATGGACAAAATGCCCCTTGCTGGGAGTTGTCTTAGATGTGCTGACAAAACCATGTCCTGTTGGAAAGATCATGTTTCTCAGACTGTGAGGCCACCACTTCAGAGCGTGATTTTTTTGCAAGTCCTTCTGTCAGGGGTAAGAACTCCTCCCTCGGTGCGAACTCCTCTGTTTCATTCTCTAAGTGACTACAATGGGACAAGGGTTCGCGCTTGGCCTTGCAATACTTTCCTGCCAGCTCCACCATTTTCTTCACACATCAGGTTGGTTCTTTAGATGCATTTAATGTCTCTTGAGTAATTCATCTAAGTGCATTCAAGCTAAATTCATTTTGTCTCAGACTTGTAGGAATACATTTCTATATTATCTCCTCATGACTGCTTCCAGACTTAATGCTTCCCAGGTTTGTCCTCCTTGACTAAATACTGTTCTGTTGCTTATGCAATGTTGAGTTTAAGAGGGGTGTCTCGCTACATTTTTTTTACAAGTCCTTTTTAAAGCACGGAAATTTACCCTCTTAATCCTGTTTCCAGTTTGACCAAGAATTTGAATTAGCAGCAGAAACTACAGCACATATCAAAGCCAACCAAAACAAATCCTTGAGCTCAAAGACATTCTTTTGCAGTAGGAAGTTCAGCAAAGCAAGTAGCTGAAGACCATAACCAGGCAAAGGTGCAGTTTAACTCACAAGTAGGCCAGAGGGCTGTGGGAAAGCCCAGTTCCTGCACTGTAAAGACTTCAGCTGTCTTTATTGGCTATTTTTGGTGTAGTAATAGATAACAGTGAGTTTTACTTGCCTTACTATATCAAGACTGCTTTTGTCAGCACAAGGTTTGTCCATGGTGGGATCTTTCCGCAGAAGAGTACTGCTTTGTACGCTCTCCAGTGGCAAGTTTCATTTATTCAGTAGGTATCTAGACTGCAGCCAGTTATGCCGTAGAGAATTCAGAGATCACATATTGTGTAAGCAGTTAGGCACCATGTGGATGCTTAAAAAACACTAAGTTGTTTGTGGACCCCGATCTTTGACTAAACCAGCATGTTACAGCACAAGACGTTATCAGAGCCTTCTAGCCAAGCCCAAGCACTGCTGAGTGAGCCAAGCGGTTCATGCCCAGAATTTGGTAGTCCAAAGCCAATGTTCACACTATGTGGCCATTTCTGAAGTAACTCAAAGCTACCTTGAAGTTTATTCTAGCCTAAGAATATTCTTTTAGGAGCAGCTCAACTAATAGCTTCTATTCAAGAGAATTTAGAAATTTGTATTGATTCACAGTCATGAAAGAACCTTCTCTTACTTTCTCGTATCTCCTTAGACACTTCCTTGCAAGGTTTGGATGTGTCCTCCGGAGCTCTACTATCATTTCCCCCGCCAGCATTTTTGGAAGGAACTGAAAAAAATATTCAACATAACCATGATTAACAGCCTCAAATGAGACTTAGAGAGCAATTGCAGAAAAAAGTAAAAATATGTAAAGGTAAAGAGTCAAAAAAACAGTGTACATATTGCTCAGTAATAGCTGTTGCTTATGATATGAGATCAAACTCTGTCAAATCCCTTCTTGGGCATTCAGATGTTGGCATCTGTTTTGCACCCACAGTTAAGACGTAGCACTGGCTTCCACACATGCTGATGGCACATGAGAGCATCAGCAAAGCTGAGCAAGTCCCAAGTGCACATTGAAACACCTGTTCACAGGCTCCCAGGATCACACTTCGTACTGATCGTTCACACTAAGCCTGAACAGGGGGATCCCAGCACCAGTTTCAAGACCCCTGCTCAACTGAGCCCCAGCTGCCTTCTGAAGCCCCATTTGCCACCACACCAGTTCCTCCCCTCCAAAAGGGCCAACACATAGAAGAGAGAAGAACTGGAGGTCCCTGATCTAGGCCGTTTTATAACCAGGACACTGGGACAACACAGCAATAGCCACAAGCATATCAATATGGGGATAGAGACACCCTCAGCAGATTCTCATGACTTACCCAAGGCTTTCTGTAGCCCTTCCTTTCCAGGAATTCCTTAAAGGCTGGTGTGCTGTGGAGCTGTGTGACTTCCATCTCCTGAATTCATTCCCACAGTAGGTAAAAATCAAACATTCACATTTCATTTTTACGTACAGGTTCCACATGCCTAAGTAAACCACGCAGTGTATATCTGTCCAGCTCTCATGAAAACTTATCTAGCAATAAATATTTTAACTGCTAATAGGTCTAGCTAGTTCAGATGTCATATTTTTCTTTTCAAGGAAATGAGGTTGCTTTGTCAATGTGAAGTCGCTTTTAGCGATGACCTGTAACCTACCATCTTGTTATCTCACATCCTGTGTTACACACAGTAATTTCACCCAGCATCTTTGGTAAGGAAGGCAAGAAGAGTTATTCTTCATTATTCACATCAGCAACCTACCCTCGATAATCCGTTCAGTGTTCCCGGGAGGAGCTGGACAAAATGAGCTGGATCATCATTCAACTGTAAACTTTGCCTGTATTTCTACGCAGCATTAAGAAAACCGTATCCTTTGCCTTCATGTTCTTCTGAGCTCAGCTGTTCCCAGGCATCCTCGCTGCAAAACTTAGTCTTTTGTCTTACAGACAGTGTTTCTTCAAAAAAACCCGAGTGACACTTGTCACTCAGCTCCCCAGCCCTTTGCATGTGGCATGATTTTGACCACATGCAACTCCTCTAAGTTTTACTTTTGGAAGCACTGCCCTCTAGAGCATGAACAATGTCTTCCCCTTACTTAGGGGGGAAGTCCAGCAAGTTACTGTGTACTACATGTGAAGATGGAGTAGTTTTTTTATAAAGAAGAAACTAAGCTATGTCTAAGTAGACGGAGCAACTGAAGAACCTGCCTGCTCTTCAACCTCCTCCTAATAACATCTTGTACCGCAGCTGAATCCAGCACCTTTGTCAAGATGGGTATCGCAGTAGAAGGAAACCAAAATAAAAACACCCTAGAGCCTTCAGTGGTGCCTATCGCATATGAATGCATTTTGTCCACATAAGATACCAAAGAGCATTAAAGGAACTAGATTTACAACAACTACTTCAAGTCTTGATTTCTGCTTATTTGCCTTCTAGAGCTATTTGTCCACATACAGGTGCCATGAAGCCACAGTCTAATCCAAGCGAATGAGCCCTTTTGACCCATGCTGATCTCAGCTTGGCTAACATGGTCTGTTACACATCTGTTTGTGGCCATCAGGCACAATACAGTGCGCCCAGAGCCATACCTGTCAGAAAACCATCTCACAGCTGTATCACAAAAGAATAACACCACTTTTTTTTTTTTAATATTCACAATACCTTTTCAGACCTGTTCTTTGCATTCCTGAAGCTATTGACTGTTGCCTCAGGAGCTTTTAATGGTCCGTTCGCTTTCTGTTTTCTCCACATTTTGGGATCAAGATACTACGCTCCATATCTGATCTCCTCCCATTTTGCTTGGGAATGGACCTGCAAAAAAACACCGTTGCAGCGTTCTTTCCTTGTGTTGCCATTTGTCCCTCATGCCATAGGCAGTACAGACACTGAATACCACCTCTGAAGGGTCTACTAGGAACGATCTTGTACCCTACAACTGCACAATATAAAGGTTAGATGGCTAACAAGAAAATCTGACTAGCAATTTTTTCCCTTTTTCCCCCACAAAGGCAAACAGTATAAAAGCCAATTCTGAGAATCACACTCAGGTCTAATGACCATCTTTTTTGGGTTTTTTTTTAAACTGTTTTTTTGCGAGAACCTAGGGAGGAATTCTGTGAGGCTCATGCTTTGAGAGTCAGATGTGGAATAATTTTTTTTCTAGTTCAAAATCAAATTTCCAAACACAGACAAAACCTAGCTACAGGGTTGGAGAAAGGCAAGCTTTCAGTTCAGCCAGAAGTGGCCCAACTTCAACCTCTTACCTAAATTTGTCCAGCAAGTATTTTCCCGAAAACCCTCGTACTGTTTTGAACTCAACCATATATGGCTTTTGATTTTGTATTCAATGATTAAAAGCAAATGCAGCAAGAAAAAGAAGGTAATGGAAAGGTAGGGACTGGAAGATCATTGCCCTACACTTCAGCTTCTATGCTTCAGCTTCTAGTTGTTGACACCTCCACCAGTACCCCTGCTCTCCTACATCACTGCCACAGATACACTCTGGACTGAGGCCTTCTTGAAGCTCCAACTCTAATATCTTGAGATGGGCATCAGACATGATGTCCCCCACCTAACCCGAACCTCACACAGTATTCAACCACCTTTTTCTGTTGATTTCACTGGCTTTGGGTATAAGGAAAACTGCTGAGAAACCTCTACACTTTGACCAGCAAAAAGACCATATAGTTGAGTCCTAAATAATACTCTTAAGTATCATTCTGCTATTTTATTGATCTGCTGCACGTAAAAAGTAAGCATTACTGAACATTTCCTTTTTCAACTGCATTCTGAATCCTTAAGATACAGTTAAAGAGAAATATCAAGTGCTCACTGGAAAAAATAGGCTCCTTGCTTATCTCCATTGAGCACTCTCCCCCACAAACTATCTAAAACAATTGACTTTTGCAAATGTCAGTGGGGGGGCTCTTTTACCTTGAAGGACAGGCTCTTTCGGTGATAAGAACTCCTCACAGCTAACTGGGGAGGCAAAATCTCCTGGGTCTTTGACTGCTCTGCTTCCACACTGCTGAATTTCAAAGCATGGAAAGGTGAAGGGACCGCGGCCTCCCTTTCACAGCTTGTGTTGAGCAAGCTCACAAGGGCATCTTGATCAATACCGCAGTTTCCTCCTCCCTGGAACAACCACCCCAAGACCGCCTCAGTGGAGAAGAAAGAAACAGCTCATAACTAGTATTTTCTAGCATACATTTCCTCCCCACCCACTCTAATCTACAGTACTATTATACTCAGCATCACAGTTCCAGCTGATATACAAGTATGCTTGCAGGAGCATCACAGTGAAGAGGCAAGCGCAAAGTCAGTTGGAAACCAAGAAATGACTTGGTGTATTAATTTTAGATTGAAGCGGACTGCTCCAAGGTCCGACAATTATATAGTAATTTGGACATGGATGGCTTCGCTGAAAAAAAACGACACACCTTTCTGTAGCCAACTTACTCAGCAGTATTTTTGCTTTATGATACTTATACCTTGCTTTACATTTTAATGAGCTGAGTCCTATTAGTCACAACAGAACATCAGAGCTGAAAGTCAAGCAAGAACTCTTGGTTTTGACTTAGACTCAGTTTCACACATCCAGAGCCACATTTTTACTTAAGTCAAAAGACATTTAGCCTAAATGAAGCACATAGGGTGGTAGAATCCAAAGGAGCAGGTGGTGGCAGTTTTGTTTTACTTACCAAAGACATAAATAACCCAGTCACAAAAATGCTTGGTTACTCGCTTTACATGTTCATCAGGGAGAACTGAGTCAGCCAGCATGGCCACCTTTTCTCTTGCTGCTACCTTCTTCTCAGAAAGCCGTGTACATGGCTTTGTGCCTCGGGACTCCTTGTGCTGCAGTTATCAATGGGATACAAACTGAAACACCCCTCGATTAGCTGCAATGATAGCTGTCACCACACAGTCAGTATTAGACAACAGCCTAAAGCTGGATCCTATGTTTGCACATATGCCTTTGGATCACCAGTGGTGCAGTTTAGCGCCAGACGAGGCATGATTTTTGCCAGGAATAGCTTGAGCAATTTGAACCTATTGTCAAGACCACCTTCACAAACAGAAGGAAGTATTGCATCTATTGAACAGCACAGTCCCAAAGTTTGGATGCAAGGGCTTGAAATTAGCTGCCACCTTCAAAATAGAAAACCCTAAAAACTTTAAGCTTGAGCTCTATGTGCCCAACAATATGTCCTTCTGTAATTATTAAAAGTGCTTGGGGAAGAATGAAGTGAGACCGCTTGTTTTACAGGGTGAATTAGCTAAGGCAAAAGTAGCCACCAGTGAGGCTGTCTCCTTATGTTTTTATATCACTCAGAACGAATCCTGACTGGTCTCTGAACAGGTCATGAGATACCAATTAATCAGAATCACTGAGGAAGGCAAAGGAACCTATCTTTTAATGAAAACTACTCCCATGCCAGATTGATATAAATGTTAATTAAGTGCTTAATTTCTTTTTATCACTCATTTCACAGAAGGCGGCATTCAGAACTATTTGCGTTGCTCTTTTCATCTTGTTCTATACTCACTGTACTCGTGTCTTGGAAGCTGTTGCTTTGCTTTGTGTATCCTCCATGCGATCCAGCACCTCCGGAGGGAGTCGGTTCTCCTGTTTGCAGTCATCGTAGCCAGTCTTGCTCCTCGAAAGGATTTCAGGATCCAGGACCTCAGCAACCTCTCTCAAGAACTGTAAGCCAAGCAAAAAGACAGTCTGTGTTCAAAATCTCATTGGAGGAAGTCTGCTTGGGAGCTGTGGGGAGGACTGCCCAACATGCGGGTCTCATCAGGTCTACCAGCAGTTAAGGCAGTTCATAGTTCAGAAGCCTCAATTTATAGACCTTTTTCAATAATCCCTCAAGCATTAATTGCAACTCAGGCTGCTTGCTAGATCTGTGAATCATGCTGAAATACTAGTTTTTGCCATCTTCTCCAGCCACATGTTGTACTAGATATGAAGTTTTCCTTCAGCTGCTTTGAAGTTTCCTTCCTTTCAGCACAATCCCTTGTTTCATGATCGATTGTCCCAGTCATAGCAGCCTGGGATCAGGGCAAGCTGTGCTGTTGACTGGTCTCATAGACCGGAGACCCAGTTCCCTTCTCTGATTTCCAAGGATTCTCCCCATGAACCCATCCATCACCTTCTTGCATCTGTTAGAGGAGTATATCCCCTTAGACGAGGCTAAGTACTGACACTAAGGCACTTCATGCAGGGGTCCCCATCTTCTGTGGCATGAAGCCTGTCCCTTCAAAAAGTCTCTCAGCTCTCCCCTGGTCCTTTTGACAGGTAGTAGAAGCAAAAAGCTTTATTTTGCTACTGTGTTTGGTCACTATCCTCCATCAGCAACATCCAAGCAAGCACGTTCCAAAAGTTGCGAGCCGCACAAGAGACAAAGACCTGCTAGCTTCTGCTTGCGTGAAGCAGAGAAAGTTGAAGAACTGGAGACTGGGAAAAGAGGGATGAGAGGGATGATTCTGTAAAGAGGCCAAGAAATAAAGGTAATGAGATATACTCTGCTATCTTGGGCATATTCCTAACTTATAATTTCTGATGAGATTTGCTTCCTGGTCTATGACGTCTGTGTGTATCAATGCCTGTTGAGAGCTGAGCAGATAAAGCACTTTCTATAATCTGTTCATCGCAGGCACTAGATTCCTCAATTAGCCCATGTATAATACTGTTCCACAATTAAATTGCTGACAGTTTGGACCTACCATCTAAATCTAAGTTACCTTTAATATTATTTGCTTTGTTTTTTTCTTTGGAAAGAAACAGAAGTTGCTGTGATTCTTTACCTGACAGTAGTAGCTGCAGGCTACTTTAGTTTCCTGTTCCAATTCTCTGAAAAAACAGTGTTTAACCAGGATTACAAAATCATTACCTTTGGGGAGATAGTTTTTTCCAAGCGTGGGTGGAGCACGAGGGGATGCTGCTTCAGACAGCACTCTAGCCATGCAATATAATCCCTCCTGGCTTGCTGCAGCGGGCTGAGCTTGGACAGACAGACCTGCGTTTCAGCACGCTTCCTTTTCTTCCACGGAACAGCGGATGAAGATTTCAGTGTGCTGTTCTGAAGTGTGATGGAGACAGGCTGCTTTCTACTGTACACAATCATGTTATGAGATGAAGGAGGAACGCCATCTAGACCTTTTTTCAGAAATATCCAGCGCTGACCATTAAGGGAGTCTGAGAACCTCAGTCTGCTTTCTCGAAAGCCCTCATAAGACATTTTCTCCCTTCTTTAAGGAAATAACATTAAGCACAGCTCAATTGCTGTGTTCTCATGAAAAAGTCTGGAGCACATTTGAGTACGAGTGGATATTCAACTCCAAACATGTTTACCCACACTGGCTAGCAGTTTGCTGCTACTCAGCTTTTGAGAATAGTTTATAACACCCTGACATAATCTGGATGAAGGACACTCACCAAACCGCAGCATTTCAAACTCACAAAATCCTGCTATAAAATCCTGGCATTTCAAAAATTCCTTTTTAAATTAAAAGAAAAACCAATAATGTTATAGAGCTGATGTTTCAGGACATATTTATTTTATACATATTTATATTGCTTCAATGACAAAAATGTTTAAGCTATCCCTTCAAGATGGCCCACATTCCTCAGAAATGCCTCATTTCAGCTGACCACAACTTCTCCACCTTTCAGCCACTCCACATTTCCTTTGTGGCCTACCAAATTAGTTTAACATTTTGAGCAAAATAGCTTTGGCAGTTTCAGAGAATGACTTACAAGTTGGCAGCTGAACCAAGCTTCATTTTCCAGAGCTTGCAGAAGCAGTGTCCAACCTACAGTTTCCAGGTTCATTCAGGTTCTTGCCAAGGACACTGGTAGGAGGGTGGCCGCAGCAGCCTGGAGCCGGCAAACTGGAATAAGAGACCCTCTGACTGCTTGCTGAAAAGGTCAGAGGCTGAATCACTTCCCAAGTGGCAGCAATTTCTGTCTCTAAACACTGTCCGAGGAACAACACAAGCACAGTAACAGAGTGAATTACAGTTATGAAAGTAATTTAAAAACCTCTTTGATCTGTAAGAAATAAATGCGGGACAAAAAAGTAGTGACTTCATACTGTTTTCACCAGGACAACATTGTCCATGGCATGGGAAGATAAAGACTCTGATACCAAGTTAATGGCAAATCACAAGACAGGCGTCACTGAACCTCAGCCATCCTGCATTTTGCACATAGCAGGTACCGATGGAGAAATGGGTGTGTGACTCTAGTTTTACTGTTTCATGCTCAATATTTTCTCACCCTAGTATGCTTTCTTTCACGTATTCTTTGGATGCTAGCAGGGCATTCCTCTTTTCTGCCAAACCATTCAGCAGCTGGGAAGTCTGTTTGTTTACAGTAAGTGCTGAGGTTCTGCTACAGAGCCATGCACAAGCAAGTTCAGATTCCTCGCTAGTGACACGCCAGATCCAGAGATTTTCAGCTACATAGCACAGGCAGGTAGTTCTTCACAGATGCTCCAGGTCCAAGTGCTAAGCAGACCCTCCAAATCTTGCCCCAGAAAATGCCCCCGCAGCCACCTCTGCAGGAGCAGCCAGGCCTAGGAAGGGCAGCGCACACATGGCTATTGCACACTCTTTGCCCGTCCTCTGTGTGTGTTTATGTCAAAGCAGCACTGCCCCAGACACTGCGGAGACATCTGGTCAAGGCTTTATCTCTTCACACGCAGCCATGAGCTAACACTCAGTGCTAACAACAGCTACAGCCCTGGCAGTACCATGGTCTTTGCTGTGCCTCCTGAGGCTTACAGAGGTTCTGGATACACAGCAAGAGTTCTTGGGTCCCTTGGTGAACTCTATGCCTCCTTGTCGACAAGACTGTTAAATCCATACCCTTCTCATCTTTTGAAGGATTTTAGTCACAAATACCTTTTATTTAGCAGTCTTCCACCTCTTAATACCCTCTCCAGAGCCTGGAGCAGCTGCCTGACTTGAGACCAGAGACCCACTGAGACTCAGAGGCGAGCAGTCTCTTGCTGCAGCCCAGCCTGCCCGTGTTCTCCTGTGGTGTTACTCACTCTTGACTTGCTCTCATATCCACAGATTTAACTTCTTCCACGTAAATTTCATGGTTTAAGCTGCTCACCATGCTTGTGTAGTTACTTTCTTTATCTTTATTGGCTTAAGTGATCAATTAGCAACTGACAGATACTCAGATAATTGCTACTTTCGGTCACTTAGCAATACAGTCCTTCCTTCCTAAAGAATAACAAAAATGCATTGCCTAACAAGTTTGCTTTAGAGATAATTAGTGTACTTGCAACATGACACATTACAGGGTTACTCAGGAACTGCTTAATCCAGAGGAAAAAGTGTTCTAAGAAGGTATTAAGAACTGTAAACAGTTAGGTACATACCTGATACTTCTGAGCTCTGACACTGAAGATACCACATGGCAAAAATGACATCTTATTCTGCACAAACTAATGAAAGTTACCTCCATGGCAATGCGCAAGAACATTTCCAGAAAATCAATCTGAAAAATCGGAAAGAAAATCTGCAGAAGCTAACACTTCAGCAGTTGCTTCAAACAAGGAAGGCACTATTTTTAAGTTCCTACTGGCATAATACACTAGGCGTGTTTGGAGTTGGTTGTTGTGGAAACCGGATTCACAACTTACCATCTGCCTAGTGCACAGGCTTTCTTCACACACAGAAGCATGCAGAGAACTGCTGGGGACTGTGGATAAAAGTATTGGAATTAAGGCAGAATTTTATTTTGCCAAAACATATATTTTTCTTTTCAACATCAGCACTTTTTTATGACTGAATAACTGAAGCCTGCTGCTGCAAGCTGATGCAATATACTATTCTATGCGTCTTTACTAAGTGTACTTTAACATTAGCCTCCAAGAAAAATTTAAGACACAAACACGGGTCAGGTCTGGTGTTATTGCTCAATTTCTTGTGGTTTTGAATGATGCAACAGACCTGTAGATCAATTTGAAAGGAATGACTTGAGACAACTAGAATACACTGGAGTATCTCTCCTTAGCAACTTGTGGAAAATAGCCTGCTAATTCCTCATCCAATTCTCATTGCACTGCCTAAGGATATCGGATAATTTATGTGCACACTGGAAGCTTTAATGAAGAAGTTGACCTAGGTGGTATCCGAGGACCCGTAGACACTGGCTTGATATTCTCTCTGGCATCAAAACACACTGCCAGGGTATTACTTTCTTCCATGCTGCCCTCAACAGTAACAAGACAGTGTTCAAATCTAAGTAAGCAGCCCTTCAAGGCAGCTCAGGGCAGCCTTAGGGTGTTGCTATTTCAGTCACACTGCGAAGGAGTCACCAGCCACTGCAGGAAGGGGAGCCATCTCAAGGCTGGCTGCTTTAACGTGAGCTCTGAGCTACACCTCAAAAACCAAAGCAGTAGCACAGTGAGGTGGATATTTTGCTAGTCTCTGGCAGCATGGCAGGCAGCACAGTACCTCTCTCTTGGGCTGTAACCTAGGAAATGCAAAGCCCAAGCGTAACCAGAATGACTTTTCCTCAAAGTTGCAAGGGTGGAAGGAATAGAAGCTTACAACTTCAAAAAGCAAGTCTGTGAGGAACGTGAATGGTTAACACTTAGAAATTCAAGTGATCAGTTTGTTTGACCTCAAGAAATGACACAGGAAGAAAGAGACTAGATAAACAAAGCTGAGATTATTTAGCACATGATGTATACACACACACATAGAGTTAATATACCTATTTACCAAGTAGGTGACAAACAATGACTCTCAATTCTCAGTAGTTAAATCCCAGCATGTCAGGTCCTAGTTAAATGAGTATTTCATATGCTTATGTATAGCTATATATGCAGTTATACTTAAATATTTCTCTTGCCTATAGAGTTCATACTGGATTATTTCATGCCAAGCAGGACAGTTACCTTGGAAGAGACAGGAAAGTTATATTAAAACGTTCCAGAACCCCATGGCTCAGAGACTGGGGTGTCCATTCATTTGGGTGAACACAGCCATGCTCAGAGATGTTCTGCAGAGCCCACAGACACAGAGCCAGGACCAGGAGAGACCTGTGCCACCCTGCCCTGGCTGCTGGAAGCCAGGCGGTATACCCAGCAATACCTAAGCTTGTCGAATTGAATTAAGGCCCAACTTTCAGCTCCTGTCCTACCACTCCTTTCTTGATTTAGACAGGGAATTTTTGCTTTACGGAAAGTTTACAGAGGTATGAGAGCAGTGACAAATGTTAGGTCTTCCAAGCAGCAAACTCCCGCCTTGTATCAGTGGTTGTAGCACCAAAGCCTACTCTGAGATGGTTTACAATCTGACCCAACAAAAACAGGGGAGAACACATCACAGCTGACTGAGGAGCCTAAATCCTGTAAGAGTTTCATTCCAAAAATCATTACCCTAAGGCAGCTACTTCTGAGTTAGAAAAATAAAGTTTTTTTGCCAGCTGCAGCTTTCTAGGGCTGCAGCCTTGCTGTCCCTACTGTGTGCTTCCCATCAAAGGAACACAAAAAAATTTTCCTTTTTGCCACTTCTCTGCCTATCCTGTTAAGTCCTTCATTTCTGCACAGTGCAGAAATACAAGGAAATGCCTTGGAAACCCTGTTGTATCTTAACAGAAGAGACTAATAAGCCTGTCCCTTTTCTTTGGTGTAAGAACACACCCCACCTTGTACACAGGGTGGCAACACTGGTATAGATTTACCCCGACGGTAAGAATGATGTCAAGCATGCTCGAAGGATCCTGCCCTTGCATAGGATCTGGCATATTAATTGTCAATCCCACACTTATTCAGAAGTTTGAAATCTACAGACCAGGAATCAAATGCAGTCAGATTGAACCTATGTAAGTCAACAGTCAAAGGAATTTACAGAGCACAGCACTGACAGGTAATGTCTTGCTCCTACCAGAAGCAAG